GGGGTTGACACGCACCATGTCCAGATATCCTCAACAGGTAAGATATTAACTGTTCATAACACTTCTAAACCTCAGCTCTGCTCAAATCAACTCTTCACGCTGTGCCTCTGACTCTTGCTGAAATTACCCAATGAGTCGCTCTGAACTTGTGTTAAATTTACTGTTCATGTTTTCACTTTGTTGTTGTTTTTAAGGTTCCTCGCAGATAAACTGCAGCTGAAGCGCGCAGCTCCTCTGAGGCCGGATGAACGCACTTCCTGCGGGCAGTGAACGCACCTTCCCCCGACTAATAACGCACGCGGGGAGGAAGAGGCAGAGGCAGGGGGGTGGAGAGGAAGAGGAGGGGGTGTGATCTGAGCTGCAGTCAGGGGGGGAGCTGCAGCAGCAGCAGCAGCATCACTGGGATGAGTAAGAAGAGTGCGCAACTTGGAGACATAACTGCACAGTCCGGAGGAGCGTGTGTGTGTCTGTTTGTGTTTGTGTGTCGGTTTGTGCGTTTTCATGACCCATCATCCACGAGCTGCTGTCTGCGCGCAGCTCAAACCAGGAGAAACATGGATTTTATGAAAAGACGCGCTCACGTCGCCATCATCGTTTTAATCAGTAAGTAAATGTTTTCACTTTATTCTGCAGAAGTTTAACTCTGTTTCTAATGAGGAGCTGTTTCATTCACCGTGCATCATGCTGTGTGTTTCCACTTTTTACTCAAGCAACAACAATAAAAAATAATTATAATTACAAAAAAAAAAAAAAGGGTAAACCTGAGTGGAGTTGTCAATTTCTCTGGAGGAATTTGATTTGCATTTATTCCCACTGCAGCAGCAGAAAAAAATGGGGACAAGACTTTGGCAAGAAGAGACAAACAGTCAGCAGCACATAAAACACACAGCCTTTCCTGTTTGTTTTAGCTGAAGGCAGGAAAAACTGATATTTACAAGGAAACCCCTGTGGAGCAGCTTTTATTTAATATAACTGACTCAAAAAAAAAAAACACAGCTGTCAAAAATAGCTTTAAGTTAGCTTTAGATCAGCTTTTATCCCATGATTGTTGTCATGTTTTAAGAGTATTTAATGCTTTTTCACCTCCTTGTTCAATATGTGGAAAGTAATTAACCACTTAGCTTTTTCTTCTTCTGCTGCTGAAGTTCCAGCAGATGGATCAGTCTGAGTGCTTCTTACTGCAGCGACTTTAAGAGCCCCCCGGGTGGGCGCTGCCAAATTTCACAGCATTAAGTCAGAGCTGCCTCCTCTGTCCAGCAGAGAGGCGTTTTCAGCTTTGTGTCCAGCATGCAGCACTGATCAGAGACAGATTCTATTGTTTTCTACTTTTCTTTACTATTTAATGAATTAGATCTGAAGTGTAGAAATGAAACAATGTGATCTTTAAAAATATCAAAATTCTGACTGATGATCATTTTTTTGCAGCTCTCTGGTAGCGACAAGGCAGGACTTTTATTGTGAAGCCCTTGTTTGGTTCACAAATTTATAGAAACATTAATTCTGAAATGGTTTTAAGTACCATAATTTGCCAATATCCTCACAGTTATATATTTGGTTGCTGTAGAAGTGTTAAAATATAAAATCTGCTGTTGTTTTGCAGGATATTTTTCCTCTTCATGTCTGAGTTTAGCTTGTTTTCCGTCTAAATTCTTGTGCATTCTTAATTTATTTGTGTATCAATGTAATTTCTGGTAAAGGAGACAGAAGTGTAAAGACATTTTGTCCACCTAAACACTAAGTGTGCGCAGGTTTTCGCTCAAATTCAGTGTCCGCGTTCAGTTTCCCCTGACTCCTGGATTTTAGTTTATTTTTCATTTCCTCAACATCCCTCTACATCTTGTGAACACGGCAACAAGAAGTGCCTGGAGGGGGTTATTTTTTTTAATTTATTTATTCTTTTGTCATTTGAGCTCAGACGTCTCTGCTGGACTCAGAAATGAAACAATGTGGTCAAAAGTCGAGGTAATTTCTAGAAACGTGCTTTAGCTTGAGAGTTCGTTTGTCAATTTTGGAAACATTTCGTATTAATAGCAGTTCTGAAAAAGCTGGAATGTGCAGTGATTTGTAAATTTCATAAACCCCTAAACATATCCTCCGTTCTGAACATCCCTTAATATCTTGACAAGTTCTCCACAAATGCAGGTTAAAGCTCTATAAGAAGTCAAATGTAAACTGACCTTTATAAACCAAAAGTCATTTAAAATAGTCTGAGACAAAGTAAGAAAACTGTTCTGTGGAGAGAAAAAAAAGTAATTATTTTTGATAGGTGTGTACCGTTTTTCCCAAACCAAGTACTTCAGTTTAGGTACTCGCCATTACCGAGTACTTATTGAGTCAGAACTTAATGACTTTTAAAACACATTTCTTTTATTTCGAACAAGGTGGTTCTTCTTCCTTATAAACCTACAGCCCCTCGGACTGGATCTGATCACATACGATGTATACTGATGAAAATTTTAGAATAAAATACAACAACAACGATTTTCTTTCAACTTGTATAAATTTCTTAAACATGGAACTGGCTTTTCACTTGAAATATAAATTGTAACYCATTCYATGGAGTATCAATACCAGTATCGTCCTGAGTATTGGGGCATTTTGTACAAGTARTTGTAAAAATCTTGGTTTTGGGCRCGATACCAATATCACTATCAWTATTGGGACTCCATTASTTTTTGAAAACCACAAACTCTGCYTCCTCTGACCTTCTGGCCTGTTATCAACACACAGTATAAATYTCCACCTRTCTGATGGTATAGGGGTGCATTAGTGTCTGTAACATGGACAGCTTGAAAAGACAGCAMCAARGCAGAAAAACYTAGAAACCACATGCCATGTTTCTTAGTCTTGCATGTTTCAGCAAGACCATGTTAAACCCTGTACTGTATCCATTACAGCACAACAACAGCATGGCTTTGTTGACAAAGAACATCCCAACAACTTGAATTGGGGTCACAAATATCTATTTTTGCCTTTGCTCAGCAGTTTAACTTTTGCTAGGRTGTTTTGTGAATATATCCACTTTACTCAGGTAAAAAGCTCCTCTCCTGTGAATGTTTGCTTTTGTTAAATTTTCATCTAAAACGTCGGTGCTTTTTTTTTTTTTTTGCTACTTCAGGGTTTTAAGGATCTCATCTGTGTCTTGTTTCCTTTCATGTGTTCAGAACCATCAACAGTCTGTAACCGAAAGAAAAGTCTCACAGTTTGTTCAGTGACTTTACAGGACAGGAGGGGAATGTCTGCTGCTCAGGTGTGTTTAGTGTGTGATGATGTTTCCACACGCGGCACTAAGGTGAAGAGATGGAAGATCAAAGCTGTGCCTGAGGGTCGTCGCTCTTCCTGGTTGGAGAGGAGAGAGACAACCAGCCTGCTGTGACTCCTTCGGTTTTCAAGGACAACCGTGGGTCAAAACTAGTCAAAGGAATTTCAAAAATGTTTTCTTCTTTGAAAGATTATTAGCCATTTTTGTAAAAAAAAGATGGAAACAGGAAAGTGATATCATATCTGGTGATTTATTGATCATTTTGATGAGATATTTCCAATAATAAGGGATAATGTTTTTGCCAGTGTTGTTTACGTTCATTTGTCTGTTGGCAAATTATCTCAGGAAGCACTGCAAAGATTTGAACGCATRTCTTAGGAAGCAATCATTTGATGAACTTCTACTAGTAATTAACTTATGGAGTAAATTTGATTCAAGATGGCCGTCACAGTCAACTGACATTAAAAACCTAAAAATATGATTATAAGTCAGGTAATTTTACACATACTGATCAACATTTGATTTATTAGCTTGTATTGATCCACAACATCAGTGATGGGCACAGCTAATCAAAATGTTAGCTTTGCTAAATTATAATTAGCTAACTAAAAATATAGCTTGATGTTAGCTTGTTAGTAGCTAATTTAGCTGAAGCTACACTGGGTAAAATAAGTATTGAACACGTCACCATTTTTCTCAGTAAATATATTACTAGAGGTGCTAATGACATGAAATTTTCACCAGATGTTGGTAACAACCCAAGTGATCCATACATACAAAGAAATCAAACCATAAATGTCCAGAAATMAAGTTATTTGTAATAATGTGGAATGGCGCAGGGAAAAAGTATTGAACACACTTACTGAAATTTATCTAATACTTTGTACAAAAGCCTTTGTTGTCAATGACAGCTTCAAGACGCCTCCTGTATGGAGAAACTAGTGGCATGCATTGCTCAGGTGTGATTTTGGCCCATTCTTCCACACAAACAGTCTTCAAATCTTGAAGGTTTCGTGGACCTCTTCTATGAACTCTGATCTTTAGTTCTTTCCATAGATTTTCTGTTGGATTCAGGTCAGGTGATTGGCTGGGCCATTCCAGCAGCTTTAGTTTCTTTCTCTGAAACCAACTGAGAGTTTCCTTGACTTTGTGTTTGGGCTCATTGTCTTGCTGAAATGTCCAGCCACGTTTCATCTTCATCATCCTGGTAGATGGAAGCAGATTTTTATCAAGAATGTCTCTGTACATTTTCCACTCATCCTTCCTTCAATTATTTGAAGTTTGCCAGTACTATATGCTGAAAAACAGCCCCACACCATGATGTTCCCACCTCCAAACTTCACTGTTGGTATGGTGTTTTTGGGCTGATGTGCAGTGCCATTTGACCTCCAAACATGATGTGTATTCTGGCATCCAAACAGTTCAATGTTGGTCTCATCTGACCAGACTATATTCTCCCAGTATTACACAGGCTTGTTTAAATGTTGTGCAGCAAACTTTAAAGGAGCTTCAACATGCTGTTTCTTCAGCAGTGGAGTCTTGTGTGGTGAGCGTGCATACAGGCCATGGTGTATAAAACACAAAGAGGAGTGTAATTTAGTAAAAATTACAGATACTGAGCTAAAATTTGGTGTGGTTATAGCTGCAAGTCAGTCATAACTTGTACTGTAAGAATTTGTTTTTACCAATAAATATACAGTTATGTGATAGGGATCTGACAATACATCGATCTACATCAATATATCAATTAAATGATTAATGATTCAYTTACATCATGGCAAAACAAAAATAATTTATCAGTATTTTCATCATATGCCAAATGTGGATCATATGCCCATCTAACAAAATTATTTATGTTAGATGGGTAGCCTARATGATATTGCATTATATCGATTACAGGCTTGTAAATTGAACTGAGTTGAAATCGTTTTGTGAAAGATTTTGTGATATCAAGAAATATCGCATTGTCATCCAAACAAATCAATATATCATACTGTGATAAATCTGGTTGTTTTCATCCTTATTGTGTCGTAGAGGTTTATGTTCAAAAGCAGAACTTCTAATCTTTCAGACAAGCGAAATCCTATAGGTGGTAACGTCATTACATTAGTCTGTTGTCATTCAATAACCAGCTCCGCCGCTCAGTCGATCATGATTGTCTCTYTAAACAAAACCCTGAAACTTGACCTCAGCTGATGAAGCTGCACCTCGGAGRTTCTCGGGGGAAGATGGCGAATTGAAAAGCAGCGTAGGTGTGTAGGTTCATCACTGAAGCTGACCCTGAKCGGTTCTAAGAGACGAAGCGGGTAGAGTGTAATTTCTGTTTTGATTTATTCAAAAA